GGGGGGTGGCTTTGTCAGTTAACACATGTAAAATGTCCCGAACAGTTCTTGACACGCTTTAATAGCTATTGGCCATTACTAGCACTGATACTGGGTGGGTCCCTTATAATCTGTTGCTTTGACCCTGTGGAACTTGATCACCAACTGTAGGATTAAATTGCTGACCAAGCCCTGTTTATTTTCAGAGCTGGAAGAGTCTCTATTATCCTCTAATAAATAGAATTCGAGGGAGGCTGCAGCGAATGAAGCCTATAAAAGAGAAGGCGTGTCGAAGATTCAGGTAAAGTAGGTGACCTAAGGGAATTTGGGAGACATTATTCAATGGCCGGTGGTATGCACTGTACCTTTCTCCCCCTTTGCATGGTGTTGGGAGCGAGGGTTGGGTAGTGTGGAAGCACACACCATTGGTATTCTAGAAGCTGCCCGGTAGCCTATCCTCCCACGAAAGTGCTGACTCTTGGACCCTACTCCTAGGTTCATACTGGCTCTAACACTTGCTAATGAGGTGACCTGGGACAGGTTACTTAATTTACTTATGCCTTCATTTCCTCCTCTGGAAAATATGCAAAATAATAGGATGCACTTTTTTAAAGATTTTTTAGAGAAAGAGCAAGGGAGAGAAACATTCATGTGAGAGCAAAACATTGATTGGCTACACTCCCCCTATTAGAGATTGAGCCTGCAACCTGGGCATGTGCCCTGACCAGGAATCGAACCCACAACCTTTTGGTACACTGGACAACATCCAACCAACTGAGCCACGCTGAGCAGGGCAATAGCACTTTTAAGAACATTCTATAGATTCATTGAGCTAACACATTAATAATGTCTAACAATAGGAAATTATTAACCCAATTTAGTATCATTTAATTATGATTTGTGAATGTGATACCACCTGAGATTCAGAGTAGATGGCAGAAGAAACAGTAAAAGGGAATTTGCTCCTGAATTCATTCAATCAACATTGTCAATACAGGCACCAGGAACAGAAAGATGGATACTATCTCACACAATTCGAGCAATTCAGTCGGTATGTTTTATGCTTTCAAAAACTATGACATAGAAGCCCTGGCTGGGTGGCTCAGTTGGAGCATCATTCTGTGTACCAAAAGGCTTTGGGTTCGACTCCCGTGCAGGGCATAGACCTAGGATGTTGGTTCCATCCCTGTCAGGGTGTGTCCAGGAAGCAGTTATCAATGTATCTCTCTCATATTGATGTTTCTCCCCCCCCCCCTTCTTTCTTAAAAAATCAATGGAAAAAAGCAGTCCGCAAGCCGACGCTCTATCCACTGAGCCAAACTGGTTTCAGTGAGAATTTAAAATATATATATATATATATATATGTGTGTGAAATAAAAGAAACTGATGTCTTAATCTTTAGATATTCTGATACTTCATCAGACCCATGGATGGGATTTTGAGGGAAATGTTACAAGAATGTTGACAGAATCCTCAAAGACTACCCTGTACTTCTTCCTTCTCTTGTATAGAAAATCTGCCAAGACGAGGAGGGCGACCCAGGGGAAGCCATCTTCAGGGCCTGGTAAGAAAGACTGGAGGTTTTGTTCAGCTGATGGCTCCCCGCCTCAGCAAAGACTACCTGTATAGGGCAGCAAACTTGGTCCTCTCACTGTCGAGCCTACTTCCTTCCCAGATTATCTAAGATGCTGAGAACTCAGGATGTGTAATTTTTAAATGTCACATCCAAAGTTCAAGAAACAAGTTAATAAGGCCATTTAAGACAAAAAACTATGAAGTGAGCAATTGTAGCCAACTCCTTCAAATGTGGCCAAAATGATATAAAGGCCAAGTGATACCAAACAATACTTCATCCCAACCTCCCTCCTTATCAAAATGACCCTCTTCCCAATACTGTCCTCCTCTGAGTTTGCAGAGAGATGGTTATGCTCCCAAAGTGAGTTCTTAACGTTGTCTTCCAGTATGCCGGCTATGCCTCCAAGAACCTGGGGATCCTGAAAAATTAGGGGAATTTCTTCAGAAAGACAATCTCAGCGTGCACTATTTCTGTCTTGTGAGTATAAGGCCCCCTTTGCTTTGAATAGCTCATCGCTTTTGCTATACAGTCTGTTCTCTGTTTTTGTATCCAGCCTCAGATCCACAGCCCTGTTTGTTTTCCTTAATACATTTTTTCTTTTAAAATCTATTTTTTGAATAGTAATATACATACCTGGTATAAAATCTTAACAATATAAAAATATATACAATAAAAAGTCTCTTCCCCAAACAGTATTCCCCATCTTTCTCCTTTTCCCCATCTACACACACACACACACACACACACACACACAGGGGCCTTGACTTACAAGTTTAATTCGTCCCGAGACCGAGCTCGTTAAGGAGCTCGTTAACTCAAATTACTCTATCAACTCAATGCAAAAAATCAGCCAAGAGACAGCTGGTATCTCAAAAAACTCGTTAGTTGGGACACTCGTAAGTCAAGGCCCCACTGTATATATGTAATCCTAATATGCAAATAGACCGAAAGGTAGAGAACAGCTGAACAACCGGTGACCACCAGGGGGTGCACGTGGAACATGGCGGACGACAGCCACAGTGGGATGGTGGAGCAGGTGAGTGGAGAGCGCCAGACCAAGGCAGGGCGCCGGTCACTGTCATCAGGGCAAGCCTCTGGTGGTTACTGAAAATTCTTTGCTTCCGTGCCACGGTCCCAACCAGCACTCGCACCCACTGCCGGCGCCAGAGCCACCATTTGCACCTGCTGCTGGCACCCAGCGCCGGCCCCAATTGCTGGGCACCGTCAGCGGGTGCAAGCAGCGGCTTCTGGCCCTAATTGCCCCTCAGGGCTTCTCCACCTCCCCCTGCTCCTGAGGCGTGATCGGGGCAGCAGCTGACACTCTCACCCCACTGACGGTACCATCCCCGCTTGCACCCGCTGCTGGGTGCTGGCCCCAATTGCTCAGCAGGTGCGAGTGGGGCCAGCATCATCAGCTCATGGGAGTGACGTTAGCAGGAGCAGGGCTGCGGCAGATGGGACCAGGGACGCAGCAGAAGGGGCCAGGCGGGAAGAGCCGGGGTGGGGGTGCAGAAGATGGGCTGAGACCTGCCCCTGTGCCCACAGCAGCCTCACATCTCAGTTCCTTTCAAGGTGCACGAATTTGTGCATTGGGCCCCTAGTGTTATATATATAATGTATGTCCCCATGTAAACACTGAATCAAAATAAATATTTCCATCATCCTACAAAGTTCCCTCCTCCCCTTCCAGTCAGTCCCCTCAGATAATCACTGATCTGTAGATTACTTTTGCCTATTCTTACCCTTCATATAAATGGAATCATACAATTTGTACTCTTGTGTCTGGCTTCTTTCACTCAATGCAGTGTTTGAGAGATTGATCCATGTTGTTGCATGCGTTGGTAGCCTTTTTATTCCCCAATAGTAGTCTGTTGTATGAATATATTTTAATTTGTTTATCCACCTGTTGATGGACATTTAAATTGTTTCCATTTGGGGGCTATTTTCAATAAAGCAGCTGTGAACATTCATGCACAAGTCTTTTTGTGAACATGTGTTTTCACTTCTCTTGGGCAAATGCCTAAGAGTAGAGTTACTAGTTGTATGTTAACTGTGTGTTTAACTTTATGTGAAGTTGCCAAGTCACTTTCCAAAGTGGTTGTACCAATTTACACTCCCACTAGCAATTTATGAAGTTCCAGTTGCACAATATTCTTGCTAGAACTTGATATTGTCAGTCTTTTAAATATTACCCATTTTACAAGGTGTGTGCACTGTGGTTTTAATTTGCATTTATCTGATGACTTAAGTATTGAGCATCTTTTCATGTGCTTATTGGCCATTTACATATTTTCTTTTATGAAGTGTCTGAACAAATATTTTGTCCATTTTAAAAATTGGATTCTGTTGTCTGATTGAGTTGTAAGAGTTCTTTTTTCTTTTTTCAATGTTTTTTATTGATTTGAGAGAGAGGGGAAGGGAGAGGGGGAGCCCGTATGTGCCCTGACTGGGAATCAAACTGGCAACCTCTTGGTGCATGGGTTGATGCTCAACCACTGAGCCACACCAGCTGGGCTTTAAGTGTTCTTTATATATTCTGGCTACCAGTCTCTTTTCAGTTATGTGTATTGTGACTATTTCCTCCCTGTTGTGGTTTGCCTTTTCATTTTCTTTAGACCCCAGAGGTCTCAATGGGCACCCCGCACAGCTGAGATATCCCTCCGGAACTTGAGCTGCTGTCTGGGAAGCCCAGCCAGCCTTTTGCACCTCCGCACTGCCTACCAGTCTCTATGTGGTCTCCACGTTTCGTCCTTGGTTATCAGGGTTCTCTCCAGCTAGTCTTCAGTTGATTATTCAGGATGGTTTTTCTGTATTTTAGTTGTAATTCCAGTTTAGTCCTGGGAGCATGTCAGTGTAGCTTCTACGTACTCTGCCGCCATTTTGGAATCTGTGGGACAAGTCAGTTTTGATGGGAAAGAGAAGAGTGGCTGAATAAGTCTGTTCTAATTACAGTTTTAATCTCTTCCAGAAATGTAATCTTATCTTGTCTGGGATTTTCTGTTTTCATTTTATTAATGATGCCTTTTGAAGAACATAAGTTTTTAAATTTGATGAAGTCCAGTTTATCAATTTTGTTTTTTATCATTAATGCTTTTTTGTGTGTCCCAAGAAATCTTTGCCTACCCATTGAATTATCTCAGTGTCTTTTTCAAAATCAATTGACCATATATCTGTGCATCTTAGTGATCTATTTATGTTAATTGATTTGTAAGTTGATTCTTACACCAGTGCAACACTGTCTTGATTGTGACTTTGGAGTGTCTTGAAATTAAGTATTGTAAGTTGCATTATTTTCCAAGATTGTTTTGGTTATCAGTTCCTTTAACATATAAATTTTATAGTTAGCTTTAAATTTTTCTCTTAAAAAAAGCCTTTCGGAATTGTGTTGGGGAATTGCATTGTAGAATGGACAAACAATATTGAATCTTCCAATCCATGGACATGATATAGTGCACCATTTGTTTGGGTCTTTTAAAATATATCTTAGCAATTTTCTAATATATTTTTATTGATTTCAGAAAAGAAAGGAAAGGGAGAGAGATAGAAACATCAATGATGAGAGAGAATCATTGATCGGCTGCCTCCTGCATGCCCCCAACCGGGGATCGAGCCCACAACCTAGGCATGTGCCCTTGACCGGATCGAACCCAGGACCCTTCAGTCCACAGGCCGACTCTCTATCCACTGAGCCAAACCAGCCAGGGATAGAGATAGAGATAGAGATAAGAAAGATCAATGATGAGAGAGAATTATTGATCAGCTGCCTCCTGCACGTCCCACACCAGGGATCAAGCCCAAAAACTGGACATGTGCCCTAACCAGGAATCAAACCATGACCTTCTGGTTCATAGATCGAAGCTCAACCACTGAGCCATGCCAGCCGGGCAGCAATTATTTTTAATGAAGAAGACTTGCACATCTTTTGTTAAATGTATTTATAAATATTTTGTGATTTTATGCTATTTTAAAATTTCATTTTCAGGTTTGTGGCTGGTATATAGAGATGCAATTTATTTTTGTACATTGATTTTATATCTTGCAGTCTTGTTAAATTCAAGTATTCAGTAGTTATTTTTGGTGGGTTTTTTTGTAAGTACCTTAAGGATTTCCTATGTATATAATTATGTGTGAATAAAGACAGTTCTTCCTTTCCAATCTTTATGTCTTTTATTTATTCTTCTTGACTTTTTGTACTAGCTGGGACCTTCAATCTAGTGTTGAATAGAAGTTATGTGAGTAAATATCCTTCTCTTGTTTCCAACATCAGAGGACAGTATCTAATGTTTCACCTTTAAAATTTGATGTTAGCTATAGGTTTTTCATGGGTTCTTTTCATTATATTGAATAGGTTCCCTTTTATATCTAGTTTGTTGGAGGGTAACATGAACGTGTTTTGAATTTTGTCAAATACTTCTTTCTGCATCTATTGAGATGCTCATGATTTCCCCCCTTAATTTGTTGATGTGATTTGTTCTAGCCATTGAATTGTTTTATGTTAAACTAACTTTGCATTTCGGATATAAACCCTGCTTGGTCATGATGTTTTATCCCTTTTATATGGTGCTGGATTCAATCTGTTAATAATTTTGTTCGTTTTTACATCTATGCTCATGAGAAAGATTGGTCTGTGATTTTCCTTTCTGGTTTTGGTGTCAGGTCTTGATTAATTTCAGTGCATTTACAAGCACATACATTTCCAACATAAAAATAAACTATACACAGTGTTTTGTATTTGTATTTTGCTTTTTTATGGTCATCCCATATTTAACATATTGATTTAGTTTTTTTTCTTTTTAATAGCTAGTTGGTATTCCATGGTATGGTTACACCAAAAAAGTATTAAAACAAACCCCTATTAAAGGACATTTAGATTGTTTCTAATCTTTTTTTAAAATATATTCTTATTGATTTCAGAGAGGAAAGGAGAGATAGAAACATCAATGATGAGAGAGAATCATTGGTTGGCTGCCTCCTGCACACCCCCTACTGAGGATCAAGCCTGCAACCCAGGCATGTGCCCTTAAACCGGAATCGAACCCAGGACTCTTCATTCCACAGGCCGACATTCTATCCACTGAACCAAATCAGCTAGGGCTGTTTGTAATCTTTCACTGTTGATTTTCCTGTTTATTAATGCATTGTAGAAAACAGTAATACTTAAAAGTATATATAAAACTGAAATCACTCATACAGTCCTAAAGCTCTGAGATAATTAGTGTTGAAATAGTTATGTTTTAAGCCTAATTGAGAATATACGGCTATAATCCAAGTGTCAAGTTGTCTAACCTTGTAGGGTCACCTTTTCTTTCATGTTGAAATAACCTGAATCCCCATTCATATAACATGCAATTACTGTAGGAAGTCCAGCACCCTCTCCAGTATTTTTGGAAGATTCTTGGAGTGGGGCTGGGATGCTGAACACATATATGTACACATGCGTTATTTATGAATACATAACAGTTTAGTTTCTTTTTCCTTGATTTCCCATTCTTGACTCTGCTTTGGGGGCTTTTTAGAAACAAAGGGCCCTTTAAAATGTGTTTTTAAAGAAAAGTTCAATTCCTCCCCTTTCGCAATAAGGCAGAGTGACTACAATTAGAACATTTTAAAGCCCCATTTCCCTTCCTATACAAAGCACACTCTGAGAAGAGTATTTATTCTATACCTAGGGGTCAATACAGCAGAAGGGGTAAGAGTGTGGGTTCTGGGGGCCTGGGTGTGAATGCCAGTTCTTCTGCCTCCTTGCTGTGTGACCCCAGCCATGCTTGCTTACCGTGCTGCACTTCAGTGGCCTCCTCTGTAAGATGAGGATCACAGTAGCATCTGTATCACAGGGTTGTGGTAAGCCTAAAATAGTCAATATCCAGGGAATGTTTCCCCAAAGTGCTCAGCACACAAAAGCAGCCCTTAATAAATGAGAGGCACAAAGGTGGGTAAGAGCTCAGGTCCTGCAGTTCTCTGGTCCCCACCTCTTAAGGTGGTTATGAGGATTAAATGAGTTCATATTTGAAAAGCACTTAGAGCAGTGGTTCTCAACCTTCCTAATGCTACGACCCTTTAATACAGTTCCTCATGTTGTGGTGACCCCCAACCATAAAATTATTTTTGTTGCTACTTCATAACTGTAATTTTGCTACTGTTATGAATGTAATGTAAATATCTGATATCCAGACTATTTTCATTGTTACAAATTGAACATAATTAAAGCATAGTGATTAATCACAAAAACAATATGTAATTATATATGTGTTTTCCGATGGTCTTAGGCGACCCCTGTGAAAGGGTCGTTCGACCCCCAAAGGGGTCGTGACCAACAGGTTGAGAACTGCTGACTTAGAGCATCCAACTTATAGTTAAGGTTACGTAAGCCTTTATTAAGTAAATTACTCTGTAAAATCATGTATATTCCAAGCTCTGTTTCTACTCTGTCCTCCTCTACCCCACTGCACTTTTTCACTGATCATCAATGTTGACAGCCTGGTTCTGCCGGTCCCCCACTCCCCAGATTCTATCTAGCAAGCTGCCTCAGCGGGGCCAGTCTAACAGAGGTTTCCACGGATTCCTGCCTGAAGACATCAAAAAGGAGGCAGCCCGGGCTTCTAGGAAGGTTAGAATCCCCCTGGAATGAGGGCCTTGGGCGAGGCCTCTTTTCATACCTCCCTGATCATCCCTGCCTCGGTTCTTTTCCCCTAGTTGCTAATTTAGAAGTCAAAGGACTCCTGGATTTCCCAACTGGTCCTTCTCTTAAGTTCCATGCTTCTCTGGGGCATAGTATCCTAAGTGAGGAGAGGGAGCGACATCCTGGGAAAACAAAATAATTCAGTGCTGCTTGAAGCTCCAGAGCTTTCAGGTCCACTGAGGAAAGGGAATGCTCGTTGCTTCACAGAATTTCCATTCCAAAGAATGACATTCCACAGAATGTCTGTTTGTCTTTCTTGGGATCCTGAGCACTGCCTGGGATCTCATTTGCAGATCTGCTTTGTGTGCAAGAAAAAGGGAGCTGCCATCAACTGCCAGAAGGATCATTGCGTCAGAAACTTCCATCTCCCTTGTGGCCAAGAAAGGGGTTGCCTTTCACAATTTTTTGGAGAGTACAAGTGAGTGATGAAGGGGAAAAGTCGGGTTGCCCTTTAGCAACTTGCTTTTAATTAGCCACTAGTCAAATCAGAGTCTAGTTCTCACGGGCCTGTTTTGATTCACCAGGGAATCTGTCCCTCCATTCAATAATGAGAAACAGTGTCTTGACTTGGCAATTTCACAGGGGTTACTTCTTCCTTCCGTCCCCTTCTTAAATTACAAACAGCTGAGGTTCTTAGACAGCTGCTCAGAAGGAAGTGGGGTTTTCAGGAATGAGAGGGGCTGTAGAGGTAGTCCCGGGAGTTTTGTGCTCAGTGGGAGAGCAGCTGTGAGAAGGCTGTTCTTCACCCTCCTTCTCCTCCTCTCCATCCCCTCCCCTCTGAGCACGGAGGAGGTTCTCTGGGCACCAGCCTGGGAAGTTGATTGCCCTCCCTAAGTCAGGCAGCTGGAAAACTCCATCAAGATAAATCAAAACCAAGTTTATTTACTCTGCCACAGATCATTTTGTGAAAAACATCGCCCAACACAGGACATCCACCAGGGGAATGTGGGAGAGGAAAGCTGTGTCTTGTGTTGTGAAGACTTATCCCAAGCAAGTGTTGAAAACATCCAGAGTCCATGCTGTAGTCAAACTATCTACCACCGCAAGTGCATACAGGTGGGGCTTTCTCTGCCCAGAGGACCTTCCACAATTGTCCTAGTTCAGAGCCCCCTGGGAATGCTCAGGCAATCTCAACAGGAGGCCTGTATGCAGGGCTGGTTCCAGGAAGTCAGAGGAAAGTAAGCCCAGTCTCTGGTCACCCTTGACCTATAGGACTCCTTCATGATAAGATTTAGACTGAGCAAAAAATCCTCAGGATGACTAGGACATCGTAGAATGAGTCAAGTAGCCTCCAAATAGCTTGCTTCCTCGGATGGAAGGAAAGAGAAACATATTCAGGTACCTGAGCCCTACTGGGTTAGCACTGCCAAGCCTTGTGGCCAGAGATGACAGCTAAGGCACTCCTGGGAACTTTCTTAAGCTTTTGGTCCCTGGTCTAGCACTGTAATATGCAGCCCTCCACCCTAACCCACCCAAATTCCTTTTCCTGTAAGCCCCAGTCAGGCTTTCTTAGCAACATTCTCTTTGTGAGATGAGGGTGAAGGTGGAAATAAGGTCATCAAAGATAGAGTTTTTACAAACAAAGTTTTTCCATGTTTCTCTTACAGAAATATGCCCACACATCAGCAAAGCATTTCTTCAAATGTCCACAATGCAACAATAGAGAAGAGTTTCCTCAAGAAATGCTAAGAATGGGAATTCACATTCCAGACAGGTAGTGGAAACTCTAAAGCAGGAATTGAGCCAGGGACTGGGTTGCCTAGATTTCTAGAGAGGAGGTGAGCGTGAGGATAGTTTGGAGAATGAAGAAGCAGCCAAGGCATTGTTATATGGTGAAGAGGAAATGGGTAGAGGGTGAGCGTTTCAATTATCAAAAGGAAAGGGGGAGGATTGAGAATTGGGGGATAGGCATGTTTCTGAAAAGGGTGCTTTGGGGATCAGAATTCCCTGGGTGAGGGATAGGTTCTCCAATTCCAGTGTGAAACTAAGGAACCCCCATGTTCCATTCATTTGGCTTCAACCCTCTCCCACTGTTAGGCAACCTTCCCAACCTTGCTGAAATTATTCAGGCAGCCTGTTGAACTCCTTTGCTGTGCTAGTTTGAGTTCTTTCTAGTTCTTCCCAGGTGGACAGTGGTTTCACCAACCAATGATGTGTCCCTTACTGTTTCTTCTCCCACTGCAGAGATGCTGCCTGGGAACTCGAACCAGGGGCTTTCTCAGAGCTGTATCAGCGCTATCAGCATTGTGATGCCCCCATCTGTCTGTATGAACAAGGCAGAGACAACTTTGAGGACGAAGGGTAGGGAAAGGCTTCTGGCTAGAAAGATCTTTCATCAGTGCCATCTTAGAGTTAGATCTTGGCACAGTTATTAAGAGCAAAGAATTCACTTTTGTCTGCAGAACAAAGGGCAAACACATCGCAGCCCCAGACTCATTCACGTGAACAGGCCCCTCTGCAGGCCTGCTTCTCCTTGAGCCCAGTGGAGAGATACTCAGGGCCAATTCCTTTTCAAATCCGCCTTTCGAGTGTCTGTGCCTAATTGCAAGGTCCTGAGATCAGCACACAGCCACACATTCATCATGGGTAAAATGTACAGCAAACGATGCCTGGAAAGCCCTCAGCAAAGGCCTATCTTATAGTGACATCCCAAAGCGGTAGTTAGTGTTATATTTGTGCCCACAACCCTTCCTTGTCTTCCTGTAGGAGGTGGAGCCTTGTTCTATGTGCTACATGTGGATCCCGTGGAACCCATAGGGACTGCTCCTCTCTTAGATCCAACAGTAAGAAATGGGAGTGTGAGGAGTGTGCACCTTCGCCTAAAGTCACAGGTGGGACTGAGGGATGGTCTGGTCTAAGGACTGGGGTGGGATGGGGTTGGGGGGACTTGTGGTGCCTAAGAAAGGAGGAGGGCATGCCACCAGATGGGGACTCCATGGTGCCTTTAGTTTGGGAAAGAAAGTGGCTATGGAAGGGCTTAAGGACCTGCACCTGGGAGAGAGAGGGCTGAGTTTTCCCCTCTCACCTTTCTTTCACCACAGACTACATATCTGAAAACTCAGGTGACATCCCCTGCTGCAGCACCTTCTACTCTGGGGGGGCATGACTGCAGAGACACCAGCCTGGAAGAGAATTCGGGCCCTTCTTGGACTGATTGGCCAGAACCTTCTTTATTAGAAAAACCAGAATCCTCTGGTGGCAGGAGGGGCCACTCCTGGTGGTCCAAGGGTGTCAAAATCACTAAAAGCTGCAACAAATACAAGTAACAGCTTCTAAGTAGTTGCTGCCAAGCACATTTGGTTACAAAGCTGTGCTCCTCCACCAAGTTTGGGAAGGGAGCCCTTTGGGACTGTAAGACCAGGAAAGGGGAGCAGCAGTGAGACTATGAACAAGGAAAGAGAAGTCCCAGATGCCAACTGCAGAACATGTGTATGGCTATGGTAGCTAGCACCTCTGCTCTTTCTGTCTGATTCCCAGAAGGCCCTTTCTTCTCTTCTTCCACCAAGATTGTTCCACCCTCATCTGGTGCTCATATGCCTCTCTTACTTCACCCAGGTTTGTTATGCAAATAAAGGCTTTCTCTCCATTGGTGTCTCCTTATAAATTCACTCTGGATTTTATCTAGCACAGTAAGGAATCTGGAGGGTAGAATGAGGGAATAGGAAAACTAAAATTCAAAGACTTAAATGTAGAATTTTCAATTTAGAACATAGACACATTGCTTTGGAGGCAAGTATTTTGCAGGGAAATCGACTTTATAGAGACAGATATCATCATTGTGCAAATAAACACACAGGTTCTCATTAGGGAGGAGCCAGCAAAGGAGTCCACACTGGACTGAGAAGAGGCCACTACTACAAGGCCTGGGGCCGTGGACTCAGACAGGCCAGGGACTGCCGTGCTCATGTGGGGCAGAAGGGACTCCACTAACCTCCACAGCATGAGTGAAGACACACCTCCACACACACCTTCTCAGCCTGGTGGCTCGGGCATTTCCGGCAGGTAGGGAGCCAGGCCAAGACAGTTACATTAAGCAGGCAGCTAGGATGAGAATCTGGCTGAAGGTCTTGGGAGAAATTGAATAGAACCTATCTCAGGTTTGTTTGTTTATGATGATTTTGTGTGATTTGGATTAGTAGGGCGAACTCAGGACCAGCACTAGATAGTGAGTTCTAGGGGGCTCCCTGGGTCTTTGTCACTAACGGCAGAGGATGGGGTTTTTGGTTCAAATATTGCTGTTCCTGGAGATTTATATCGAGTTGTGCTCGCCTTCAGATTTGAACAGTTTCGCTTGGAATCACGACAGTGGTGGGGGATTGTAATTTGTGTCTTTTTGTTATTTAATTATATAAACAAAGTAATATAGACTTAAAATCTTAAAGAAGTACAAAAAGGACTATAATGAAAAATAGTCTATTGACTCACCCTTCCTACTCTTAGTCCTCCCTAAAGGCAACAACTTTCCACTTCTTTTAGCCACTTCTTTCTTTAGGAATCTTAGACATTATTGACTTCCTATTATGTTACATAAATTTCTAGAACCTTTAAACCTTACCCTTTTCATTCTATTTTATAATTGCATCACCATTTTTAAGCCAGGCAATATACCATGATTGTTTTTCCTCTCCTGTATATTTTTTAGTGAAATAAATACCTGCCTTTTTATAAAATATATTTTTATTGATTTCAGAGAGGAAGGGAGAGGGGGGGAGAGAGAGAGAGAGAGACATTAATGATGAGAGAGAATCATTGATCGGCTGCCTTCTGCACACCCCCAACTGGGGATCGAGCCCACAACCAGGCATGTGCCCTTGACCGGAATCGAACCTGGGACCCTTCAGTCCACAGGCTGATGCTCTATCCACTGAGCCAAACCAGCTAGGGCACCTGCCTATGTTTTATTTGCTATATACCCATGGGTAATTCTTCCCAAATGTTCCACATGATCAATTACTTCAAAATACAATTTTCCTCATAGTCCAACTATCAGATCACTTCAGTTGCACTTCTTTTCTGGAAGATCTGCCTCTGAGAACCTACTCCTTCTGAGCTAATGCTTCCTGGGCCTGCCACACAACTATCAACCTAGGCCTCCCCATGACCATGCCCTCTTTCTCCATTTTCTCTCCCATGAGTTCAAGGACTCCGTGCTATAATTCCTACCCTAGATGTTCAAGGACTCTGTGTCAAAGCTCTGCAAGTGATGAGGTTTATTAATGTCGACTTTTATTTCACAAACAGTATTTTGCTGTCTTGAAGAATCAACTCTTGCAGTGATGATTCACAACTGAAAAGACACTTTCAAGATTAAGACTTTAGTTTCTTAATCTAGAGTTTCTCCAGGCATATTCTCAGACATCTGGGGTAGTATCTTTTCCTTTAAAAAGAGTTAATTTGTATACTAAAGTGTGAGAAACATCATCTTAACTGAAAGTAATGGTCTTCTAACAGTGCCCTCTGGACTCCAGCTGCAGTGGGTGGGAGGTGGAGCTTATGGCAGGGGTAGTAGGGATAAGTGGTGCTTTTTGTCACCCAGACATTCAGCTACCCGATCACCATGTGCCGTTGGTACACATACACACACACACACATTCACCTCACATCTATTAACTATTTCTTACACCTTTATTCTCCATTGATGTGAATAGCCAACCTCATTGTTATAGGCTATTCTTCATCTGGGCCTAATAATAATCAGTCATTCTCTACTAAATAATTGGGCTTTTTTTCTTAAATAAACTTTTAATTTGGGATTGTTTTAGATTTACAGAAAATTTGTGAAATTATTAGAGGGGATCCCCATTTATCCCAAACCCAGTTTCCCCTATTAGTAACATCTTACATTAGTGTAATACATTTATCACAATTAATGAACCAATGTCCATACATTGTTATTAACTAAAGCCCATACTTCAATCAGATTTCCTTAGTTTTTACCTAATGTCTTTTTTCTGTTCTAGGATCCCATCCTGGATACCACATAGAGTTGAGTCATCATGTCTCCTTAGGTTCCTCTTGGCTGTAACAGTTTGTCAGATTTTCCTTGGTTTTGATGACCTTAACAGTTTTGAGGAGTACTGGTCAGGTATTTTATAGAGTTCCTTTCAATCTGGATTTCTCTGATGCTTTTCTTATGATTAAACTAGGGCTATGGGATTGGGGAGGAAGACAGAGAGTTAAAGTGCCTTTGTCATCCCATCATATTGAGGTTACATACTATATCAACATGACTTCTCACTGTTGATGTTGATCTTGATCATCTGGCCAACGTAGTGTTTGTCAGATTTCTCCACTGTAAAGTTACTCCTTGTCCCCTCCTTTCCATACTGTATCTTTTGGAAGGAAGTTATGCTATGTAGCCTACAAATGGGGACTTATTCCCCCTCCTTCCTTGAGGAGAGCGTATCTACATAAATTATTTGAAATTCTTCTGCACAGGAGGTTTTCCTGTTCCCTCCCAGTTATTTATTTTGTTAATCATTTGTATCAGTATGGACTCGTGGATATGTATAGTATACTTTGGGTTATAATTCAATACTACTTTATTTTGCTGCTCAAATTGTTCTAGCTTTGGCCATTGGGAGCTCCTATGTCCTTTTTACATATCCTTATTAGTGTGTGTTTGTGTTGTTTTTGAGTGCCTCTTTACTTTTTTGGCACTTCAAGATGCCCAGGCTCATGTTGTATATTTTAAATACCTATTTTCACAAATAATGTGCCTATTAGAATTAACTACTGTTTTATTTTATAGCGTAGGACCTAGAACAGATAGTTCACTTGTGAAGGATTGAAATAGATATTAATAAAATTTTTCCAAAGTATCTGCTCTCCTTCCTCTAATTCTTACCTTTGTAAGACCCATAAACTAGGACCAGAAACCTCAGAATCTCCTCCTGCTTCCTTTTATGCTCAACCACCCTCTTTCTTGTCAATTTGACTATTTTCAAATGTTTGCCTTCCTTTTCATCCCATCGCCAATGCTCAGTTCAGACCCCTGGGCCTCACAAGACTGTAGCAAAAGCCTTTTCTCTGCATGGTTTCCTAGGTCCACTCACTTTGCTGACACATCCACCCCTTTCCCTTCTGCAAATTATCTAAGACATCTGTTAGCTCTTTACTTAGGATGGCCCCCACTGAGATTGGCATCCAAGGCCTTCCACGAGTGTGGTTCCATTCAGCTGCATCTCCTAGGATGCCTCACTCTGGGCACTGCCCTGGCTACCCTGACATAGTGGGCCCTCATCTTGGGATTCACAGTCCGAAGGGCCCTAACCTCTATCCTCAGCCTGTTGGACCCAGCACAAGGTCCAGTTCTTCATCCCTAGGTGCTCTCACTGGATTCCACTTATACCCCTATTGTAGCCCACGTCATTCTCCGTCTGGTCTACAGTTGTAGATCTGTCTCTCCCACTAGATTGGGAGCCCCTTATGGGTAGGGGCCTGTCTGTCTTATTAACCTTTATTCCCCTCGTGGTGTCTGGCTCGGGATTCCACAGTCAGAGGCAGTTCAATATCCGCTGGACTGATGGATATGCTCATACCCTGTATATTCACATGCCTTGTTTTGCTCTCAAACACCAGAGGGCACTGTTAGCATGTTGTGGAGGAAGACCATAACCCTTTAGACCTAGAAGGTTGAAAGTGGCTAGTGAAAAGCTTGCTTCTATTTTTGGATGCACAGGATTTTCTGCTCTTCACTTGTTTGAATCACATCCCTTTGAGTTTATTCATGAATTGTGCTTCTGTTGTGTTTAGAGATTATTATGAGAGTTAGTAATGACACTTCCATCACAGGTCAAATCCTCAGGCAGGATTGCCTTCATGGTCTCTCCAGACCCACAGTAGCCCTTCTGACCCAGCTGCCCTCCTTTCATCCCCAAGATGGGGACTGCCAGTCCCGAGGGGTATGCGGTGATAGGGATCTGTCCCTCTTCTGCCCAGCCCTCCCACCACATGTGCACTGGCACCGTGGCCTGTGGGTGGTGGTTTATAAGCTCTAATGACCTTTGGGCAAGGTGGGAGATTGTTAAGAAAAAGAGCACCTACATTGGCCCGGACCCCAGGCCACTGCATTAGCTCCCTGTGTATTCCCAGGCTGGCTGAAGGTGAGTTACAGCATCATGGGGGCCCCCAGTTCTGCGAAGGCTCCATCATGACTAAGCCAAGGTGCCCCATTCCAGAGAAGTTGGCTATTTGCAAAGGTCTCATACCTTGTACATTTTGCCCCCAAAAAGCAACATGGAAATTGAAGGCCATAAAACAAAGAGTTGATGTTTTTCAGAAAACAAACAAAAAAATTGTCTTTCCTTCTCCCTAGCAAACCCCCCCAACCCTGGGGCCCCTGAGCAATGGGACAGCGTGAGGCTCAGATGGAAGGAGTGAGGCTCAGGACCCCCCCCCGCCCCGCCCCCATCTGTGGTACAAACTTGTTCCTTGAGGAATCCTGCCCTGCATGTACTCCTGATAAACAGGAAGGCATCGCGCCATCCCTGTCCATCCTTCTCAGAGCATGAAACCTGCCTGGGCCATCAAAGCTATCCCCAGCCCCCAGGAGCATTCTGGAGGGGACTCCAGCCTCACCACAAACAATTCCCCATTGTGTTCCCCCCGACCCTTGGAAATCAGGGATTTGTAAACAGTCCCTGCATTTAGGTAGGTCCTTGCCCTGGCTTTGTGCTGGTGTGTTATTTTTTCTTCCTTGAACAATGACCTTTCCAGTAGGGCCAGCCAGTTCACACCATTGTCTGAGACCCTTGGACTACAGGAAACAGCACCAGATTCTTATCAGCTGGGGGGGGCAGGCAGAGCGAACAGATGAGGTCATGCCCAAAGCAAGCTGCTGGTCTGCCATATCATTCTATACCTTTTTCTGTGAGAGCAGAGCCCCCCCTCTTGTCCTCCTAACAGGCCAATCTGGGCTTTGAGTGTCCTTAGTATGGTCCCCTCCATTTGATGGCAGAGACCTGGACTCTGCTTCACTTTGGAATCCTCACTAGCTCACAGCAGTCCCCTTGCTCTGGTCTTCTCTCTCTGCCCGATGGGATGCTCTTCACAGTGAAACATACCCCACTGTGTAGGTTAGAGTACACTCTAGTCATCTTCCCCACCCACCCCGCTTTTCCCTGGGGAAATAAGTCAAGATTGGTTCGTCACCTGAGTCCCCCTCATCAGCAGAGTCCCTGAGTATAAGCTACTGACTGACTGCTGATGGCCTGGTGTGAGGATGAGGGCAGGCATCCCTAGAGGCCTCCTCCCTGGAGACAGCAATGATTCCCATCCTCAGTGGAAAATGATTTTTTTAAAGGCTGCATTGAAGAACCATTTCCTTAATGAAAATTCAGTGTGGAAAAGTGAAAGGCTTCATTAGGACATAGTCTCTAAGGGAGAGGGGCCCAGCAGTGGTACCCATGGCAAAGGTGACAGGGGCTGGGCAGTGGGAAGTGGGCACAGGGCCACAGCAGCCATTGCCTCACCTCCTGTGCAACAGGGGCTGTGGGTGAGTCCGGAATAGGAGCCAGGGGGGCCCAACAATCCCTGAGCTCCTTATCAGGTATTGTATCCAAACCTTACCCCACCCATTCATTCTCCCTTTACACCAGGGCCAAGCCTATAGTCTCAGAAAACCCTCGGGATTTGATCTTGGTGTGTGTTGAACTTTCTCCTTGCAGGAGTCCCTGCAGACTGGGACTTGGGTGAGGCTGGGATGGATCCTTAACTCAGATGGAAATTGGAATGTTTCTGAGTAACTGTTTCCTAGTTCTAAGGAGGAGATGTGGCTGGGTGAAGAAGCCTCAATTTTCTGGACTAGCAGAAGCATGCAAGCAAGTTTTGGGGGGCCCATCCATCCCTAGTGACATCTGGGGCCTCAACCATCTGGAGAGGACAGCCTGGCAGGGGGCAGGCCAGGCTCCTGATTGTGAGGTTCTAGGGGTGTCTGGGACCTGAGCTGGGCTTAGCTGAGTGAAAGAGAAGTACAGAAGCCATTTGAGAAATAGAAAAGGGCTGTTTTCCTCATTCTGCCTCCTCCATACCCACTACCCTTCCTTAGAAACTAGTATGCGAACTGCAGGACAGTCACAGGCTTGTAGTGGATCCCAGCCCTCCACAGAGGGCCACTCCAGACACGGGGAAACAGGGAGCAAGCGGGGAGGCAGGTTGGGTGTGGAGGGCAGAGCCCAGGCAGCCTGGCCCTGAGGCGACAGCTTCTGTTCTGGTGCCGGCCATAAGAAGCCAAGATGTGGCTATTTCACCTGGGAAGTCAGTGCCTCCATAGTTTACAGGCGTAGAAGGCAGAGATTAATAAATTAATCTCACATATTAAGAGAAAAAATATAATCAGAAGTATCCCAAAGTATACTCTTCAAAACACCAGAAACATGAGATGCTAACTGCTCCATGGGAAAAAAGGGATAGAGGACCAAATGTTTTGGAGAATTGTGTAGCACACAGTAGGCATGCAATTAATGAGAGATCATCATGGGCTTCTCAGGGGTTTCAAAACAAGGCAAGCAAGCAGGCAGTGCACAGCTCCATGGGGGCTAAGGGAGCAGAAATCCCCAGTTTTATTTGACCATTTTTGTGGGATAATTGTTCCACAGGACACCATTTTGAAAAACACTTGACTAATGCTCCTTTCCAGCTCTAAATGTGTTTGGGAAATCATAAAACAGAGACTCACAGACCAGGGGAAGTATGAGACTTAGAGGAAAAAGCTGGCAGAGGAAGATAGAGTGAAATCCCTCAGGCAGGAAACAGGACTTAAGATGGGAGGAGGGAGGAGAATGAGGGCCAGAGAGAAGTCCAGACCCAAGGGGTCTTCAGGGCATGGGTGGCAGTGTCGGTGGGAGCAGAGGTGCTGCATGCCCCAGGAATAGCAGTGTGAGAAGGGAGAAGGGAGCTCTGGAGATCACATTCACACACCCCTTCCATCCAGCGTTGTACCAAATGGGTACACTGATGATGCTCATGAGTTGATGGTGATGATGGCTTTGGGTGGGGCAAGGAAGTTTCAGGTTCTGTCAGGCCTGGGTATTTGTGCAGAGACTAAGTGACAAAACTAGGAGCCGCAGACTGCAAGATGGGACTGATGACTGACCTGTTCTGTTAGCCCGCCTCTTTTCCGTGGATTGAGGGGCCCATCCGAGCAAGAAGCTAGTCTCCCTGGTGAGGTGGGGCAATGTCCGTCACCTCTTCTCACCTCCCTCCAGCACCAGTGGAGTCTGCTCTTTGGGCAGCAGCATTATGTCACAAGGGAGTGAGAGCTTCCACAGCACACCCAGGAGGCCAGACTACTGGGGCCTCCCCTCCTCCCCAGAAACTGCAGCCCCTGGGCAAGAGCACAGTGGCCTTAATAAACGTTGGTATGTGGTTTGGGATGAAGACAGGCAACAGGCCAAGTGTTGTCACAAATGTCAAGTGTTATTGTGGAAAAAGCAGGGCTGCCTACGTGCCCAGCTGCCCTTTGCCAGCATTTTTTTTTCTGGTTCAAGATCTTCCTGGAGTTCCAAGAAGGTCAGTCTCAGAAGCCCAAAGGGCAGCATTTTCCTATTTTAAGAAGCAATCTCAGCTAATAGACAACGCCCTCTGACTCCTTCCTTCCCTTGATACCCGCCCTCCCTTCTAGAAAACACCACCTAGGGTGGTCTTCTCCATCATGGAATGGATGGGGAAGGCTCTTCACTTCCAGCTCACACAGATGGTATCAGTCAGTTTAGTACAGAAATACACAGATACAATAATGATATAATTATGTGATGTAAATATTAACTTCATTCCTCTCCTTATAGGTTCTGTGTGGTAGACCACTGTACTGTCCTCACCAGAGCTCAGGGGTGGTCAGGACAAAATAACAATAGTAATTAGAGAAATCACAAAGCCCATCTCAACATCTGAATACAAAAATAGAATTCACACATAAAGGCATTTCCAGGGGTTAATAACACATAGTACCATGGGGGGTGGGAGCTGGTAGAAGCTGTCCATAATTTTCCAAGTGCAGGTGTTTGTTGTTCAGGATTTTGAGCTCCTTATTCCTCCGTTTTCCAGAGTAGCTTCCCCAGAGGACCCTATCCAGAGGCAGCCACGCCTGGGTCCAGCCTGCAGGCCACTGAGGGCCTGGTTGTGTCTTCCTGGCTCCCCTGGGCTGAGGAGCAGAGCTAGCTGACATCATTCCTGGGGCTCTACGCTCTCCCCTTCCCCTCTCGGTCCCCCTCCCCATTTCCTCCAGCTCTCCTTCCACAGTCCTCCCCTCTGCTTCTACCTGCTGACAGCCCAGCATCAAACCCCAGGCCAAGGCTTCCCAGAGTGCTGTCAGGTTCCAATCAATGCTCTGGCTCACTGGCTGTGCAGTCAAAGGGGGAAGGAGGGCTTCTTTCAGGTCCCAGTTGGGGGTTGGGAGGGGGAGGGGGTGGAACAGATAGAATCTAAGGCAGATTCAGTCTGGGTTTGAGTTCAATGGGACAGGAAGCCCTGTCTTGCTTTTTATCTATTTTTTTTTCTCCTTTATTCATCTCGTTTTTTTAAAGGAGGGAATCTTGAACCTGATGTTCCTGTCTCCCTCCTGCCAGTTTTGTGCGTCACTGACCTGCTTGTATGCAAGCTGGGGACGGTTTTTCATTTAGTCCTCCTCCTCCTCCTCCTCCGTGTGTTCCCCAGCTCAAGAAAGACATTGCTGCCAATGGCAAAACACCTGCCTATATGCACAGATAGAATGCATCCTGGCCACCTGAGCCTCAGCCCCAAGAACCTGCAGGACCTAGAGTTCTTAGCAGCTTTCCCCCATATTTTTCCCCTTAAAAGAAAAGAGCCTTCATAAGAACCATCCAGGACCAATCCTTATTTAGCAGAAACTGAAGATTCCAGGGTGGGAAACATCTGGCCTTCCCAGTGGCTCCTCACCTAATTGATGCCATCTTGAATCCTTGAGCATGCTTGCTTCTGGGTCCCATTGCCCATCCTAGGGTCCCACCCTCTCCCATCTCAGAAGCCTCTCAATCCTCTGTGTTCTTGGGCGCCGTCCTACCCCTGGTCCTGCCACTAGCTGCAGCATGCTCTCAGAGCTGCCACATTGCCGCCCTCCCAGGCTGGGGGTGTGTTTGCATCACCCTGGGAAAGACAGCCCACTCCTCCCCAGCTAGTCCACACAGATGGGGAAGACATTCTCCTAGAACCCATCCTCACCCTGCTCGTCAGCATGGAGGCCCTGATGGTGGGGAGGGATGGGCATCCCAGGAAACCTGGCCTGCAGCTCAGGAGCCTGGGGAAGGGAAGTCAGGCTGAGAAGCCCTTTGGTTTAAGAAGTAGGGCCTGAGGCCCAGCCCATCCCCAAGTTGCAGGGAGTTTAGCAGTCTATGCTGTGATTCTGTGATGGAGAACAGGCGGTGGGCAGTGGCAAGGGATCACCAAGGTATCAGGGCACAGTGTGTGCAGGGCAGGGGCGGGGGGTGTCTACCTTCTCAGCATTTCCTCTTTTCCTCCCCAACCCAGTCAGTGTAGGTCTTCTAACCATTGCCAGCCTAGAGGCAATGTCCACCCTCCTCTGGCAGCCTAAGGGCACCCTGCCAGTACCTCCTCAGGGGCACCCTCACGCCTACTCTAAGGGTTACTCAGAATGGCCTTTGTTCTGCAGCTGGGAAAGAACCACCCTGCCCTCTTGCCTCTGGGCACAACCGGAAATGCACTCTGGGGACCACCTCTGAGAACAAATAGCCAGCCCACTGGGGTTGCCCGTGGCCAGAGGGTGGTGGCTCCATCTGGAACTAAGAGCAGAAAGGTGCAGGGAACAGGCACAGGGTCCCTCCATCAGGCCCCCAGCCTTTCCTGAAGCGGCCTGGTAGGGGCTTGCGGGGCAGAGACTCCCATATGTAAGAGGTGATCAAGCCTGCTGACCCCCTCTGCCCTCGCTGGGTGGGTGGGAGAGACTGGGGGCTGATTCTGGGCCACTCGGCCCATCCCAACCACCCCCTCCTCCGCCTTCTATGTGGCCTCCACCTCCCGGGGTGTCCGATTCCGCTCGGCCTGCACCCGGCTCTTCACCTTCTTGCCCAGCTCCAGCCCTGCCCAGCTCTTGCCCTTGGCCTGTTTGCCCCGGCTCCGGGAGGAACACCACATGCGCTCACAGTACTCGTCCACCCGGGGCAAGTTGGCGAAGCCGATGAGCTGCAGGATGTCCTTGTACCAGGCCCTGGGTGGGGTGGAGGCCAGGCTTCCCCGGGCAGGGGGCTCCTCCAGCCTCTGCCCCCGGTGGAACAGGCTGTTGAGCTGCGCAGCCACGATCACCTCCAGAGCCAGGCGGGCCACAGTCTGGGAGAAGCCATGCTCCAGCGTCGTGCAGGTGTAGGTGCCCTCATCCAGGCGGCTGAGCCTGCGGATCAGCAGCCCCTGCTCCGTCTGCAGGACTCGCTCGTCCGTCTTCACCTGCTGGGCACCAGGGAGGGCGTGAGGGGGCCATGGAGCAGGGCACACACCATCAACTTATCTGCGCCCTGCTTTTCCAAATGTGCCATCTCAGGGACCAGGACGTGGGCACCTCCATGTCCATTCTCCCCAGGGAGGGACCAGCAGCTCAGCAGGCTCAGCCTCCTGGAGACTAAGCCAATTGCAGGCGGGGCTTCACCTTCCCGTAACCCAGGCCTGGGAAGGGGCTTTTCCAAAATTTGACTGATTTCTCCGTAGTCAAAGCTCTGGGGCACCTGTCTTGGCTTTGGGGGGTGGAGGTGAGCACTGGCACACATTCCCAGTGAACAGAGAGGGAGAGAGAGTACATATGGGCTTTTACTCAGGGGGTATGTAACTCCAGCCCCAGGACTAGAATTCCCCTCACTCTACACGGTCTGCATGGCTCACTTCCCCCACAGCGCAGGGCCCACAGCCCCAGCCCGGGTGGGCCAAGTGCCCATCACAGTGCGGGAGGCGGGAGTGCTGTTCTGACCCAGCCGGTCTCTGGCCCAGCTGCTGTCTGGGCTTTGGTCTGTGCGACTGGATGTTGAAGCTGCTGCTTGGGCAGTTAGTGCTGTGTAATTTCATCTCGTTGCTCCCCCTGCCCTGGCCGTGGGGGAGTCCCTCAGTGCCTAGCCCAACAGCTGGCCAAGGCTGGCCTCCCCCAGTCCCCAAGCTGAAGGAGAGCCCCTCCTGTAACCAACCACTCCCTCCCCTCCCTGCCTGTGGGAACTCTTGAGAATTGTTCCTCGCCCTGCCCCACCCACGCCCATCCTCAGGCCCCAGACTGAAGCCATCTCTGGGGTTGACAGAACTTTCCAGATGAGGGTGGAGGGCCTGGGCAGACTGTTGGACTCCAGGAAGTGTGGGGCCAGACAGTGTGGCAGGGGGGGTAAGGGCCAGTGGCCAGGGCCACAAGCCTGGGGCAGAGGAGGACCAAGAACCCCTCGGGGAAAGACCCCTTTCAGAGATGAGCCATATATTAAGCCTGGGGACTTCTTGAGCAGCCCAGACCCCCCTCCCTCTCTTCCATCTCTGCTACCCACCCACCCCTCAGAGCTCAGCTCAGTGCCTTGGGAGTTGGTGGGCTCCCTGCCGCTGGAGGAGTTCCAGGCACCTCTGGCCTGGGCATTCCCAGATGGCAGGAGAGCAGCACCTCATTCCAGGCACCCAGGGGCCTAAAGCACAGTTTTCTTCAATTGAACCTGACAGGTTCCCCTCAGAGCCCCTTCCTAGGACTCAGGACTTGGGTTCTGGAGAGATGTGACCTAAGGACACGTGCAAACTGGAGGCAGGGTCCTCACTCACCTGGTCGGGCCCCTGGCCCCCCGGTCTCTGCAAGAACCAGCGCACAGCTGCCTGGGGAGACTTGGGCAGGCACTCCAGGAAGGTGCTGTTGTGCTCCGTGCCGAAGACTGTAGTGGTGGCCACCGGTCCTGCAGCCTTCTCTGGAGGGAGGCGGAGGTGGCTCGTCTCAGGGACTGTCCAAGAGCCCCCGCCAGTGTTCCAGGGACCTCAATATCCATCAATCCCCAAGCCAGTCACTCTGTCCAAAGACCCCCACACCCGTATAGTGACAGAGCCACTCAGGTAGGGAAATTGAGGACTGTTACAACAGGACAAGTCTGAGGCCCCACTTCACTAGGGTTGAGTCCAGGCCACGGGGTGAGTAGCTGCCACTCACCTTTCTGGCTCTGGCCCAGGCACTGCAGGGCAGGGTTGCCATGCCGGATGTCCTGCCGGCGGAACCGGCGCTTGCTGGTGCCAGGCCGGTAGCGGGTGCAGGAAGCACCGTCCCAGGCGCAGTACGGGTCCCGGGCCAGGCAGCACTCTGCACAGGCACTGCCGTAGGTCTCACACTGGTGCAGCTTCAGCCGGGCCACGCCCAGCCGCGAGCCCACGTACAGCATTTGCTGGGGAGGGACCCAAGCAGAGCCCACAGTGAGCCTGGGCTTCCCCAGAAGCTGCACAGCTCTCAGCCCCCTGGGTTTCCTGAGGTCCCTGCCATTTCCAAGCAGAACCATGGGTGCCTTCCCAGGAACAAAATGCTTATCACCCACACGATGTACCCCAGATCCTGCGCTAAGACATGAAGGGGGTGGGCAGACCTGGGGTCCTCCCTCCAAGGGGCTTCACCTCGTCCACTACCCCAATGGCCTTTATCCTGACTTGCCTCCCACCTTAGAGGTGCACTCTGCTTTACGTAATCCCAGGACCAACGTCGGGACCTCCCCAAAGATAAACTGGGGAAGATGGAAGGCGCCACTTGTAAAAGGACACAGCCATCCTCTGAGGAGTGGCTCCCCTTCCTTGCTTGATTTCAGATCTGGGTTTTGTTTCCCCTGAGGAGCCAGCGTTGGTGGGTCTCCCCTTATCTGAACAGCCTCACGTACTCAGGGCCTCCCACTGCCCACTGGCATGGGAATGTCAGCTCCCAGCTGGATCCCACCCCTCTGCAGGGCCTGGCCGGGCAGCCCAGCGCCTGCTGCCTGCTGCAGGGCTTTCCAGCGGACACAGGCTGTGCTCAAGGAGCCACTGGCGGGCTGGGGAGGGGAGGAAGGTGGCAGCTGCTCTTACCCTTTTCACGGAGATCTCCATCTCAGTGACGGCTGTCGGCACCTGAGGAAGGAGCGGGGTCTCAGGGGGCGGGTGTTGGAGAGCCCTCCACTGCACCCCTGCTCTCAGCCTCTTTAGCCCCTGGGTGGGAGCCCCTGCCCCCCTGCCTGGGGCAGTGCAGGCTACTAAGGCCAGACAGCCTTTCCCAGAGGTCAGGTTACAAGAAAGGTCCCCTTACCCTGGCTGGCCTCCAAGTAGGAGTAGGAGGCTTGGCTGAAAGCACAAACCTCCAGTGTCCCCTCCCACAGCCCCGTTCCCAGCGATGAAGCAGCTGTCCCAAAGCACCACCCATGTTGGGAGGGGCAGCAGTCCCCTTGCCTGATTCTGTAGAGGGGCCAGCAGAACCTCTTGGGCACTTGGGGCCTCAGCCACCCCCTCACAGTGACTTGTGCCTATCAGGGCTTTGTCCAGGAGTGCTCACCCTGAGCCCCCCAACTTTCAGCTCACAAACTGCACCTCCAGGCCCGTCGGTCACTCAGAAGCACCAGCAAGGCCTCTTCAGTGGGGGTGTCATCCCTTTCATCCCACTGGCTGCAAGCTCAGTTAAGACATAGCCCATCTCCCTCCTGCGCTTTGCTCCTGCTTCCCTGTAGCCAGGGCTAGACCCAGGGACCGCTCCCATCAGCCCCCTCCCTGCTCACCTTAAACACCTGGAGCTCCTCCAGAACCACCTCCTCGGGCTCAGCTGAGTCCCCAGACTGGAGGGCCATGACCTTGAGCACCGACCCTGAGTCTGAGATAGGGAAGACGGGGTCAGTAGGAGAGGAAGGAGCCGCCTGGGCACCTGCCACCTCCCCAGTCTGGGCACCTTACTCGGCCCACCCACCAGTTCCCAGGAAGATGACATCATAGGTCCCGTCCTCTGCCTCCACGCGGTCCACCACGATCTGGCGCAGCTGCTGGGCCAGGTGGGTTTTGACGAGGACAGGGCGGCCCCACCGAGGCCGCACGGACCGGAACATGAGCGGGTGGGCTCGGGCAAACTGCAGCACCTCATCCGGGTAGTCCTTGGTGCTGCCAAAGGGTCGCCCAGGCTGCGCAGTCATCTTGCTGGGGCACTGTGGCAGCGGCAGAGGGAGCACCTGGAATCCTGGGTCACACATTCCCACCCAGCCTGCTCCACGCCCCACTGTCTGGGCATGCCAACCTCGGAGGACTGCTCTCGCCTGCCAGAGGCTCCTTAACGCGGTCAGGGCTCCTTGCCACCCCTCACCTGATGCCCCTCAGGAGCCCTGGCTCCCAGCTGCTAAGGAGCTGCGTGCAGACACAATGCTGTCCTAACGTAGAGCCCCTGGCATCTCTGTCCTGCCCTCTCCCCTGGCCTGGCCAGATACTCACCACGCCAGGGCGGGGGAAGGGCACCTTGCCGCCATAGGGCCCCCACGGATGCTGGGGACCATCTTGGTGAGCAAAGGGCCCCTTGAAGACCTCCCAGATGTCCTCCATGTGGTACAAGCAGACTGCAAAGCCCTGGAACACAGCACTGCCAAGGGCAGACAGGGACAGTCAGGCCAGGGTGGCCGTCAGAGGGGAAGGGGGCGGCCTGGCTCTGTGGGCAGGGTGGAGGGTGACATTGCCTGCAGTCAGCAGAAACCGAAAAACAAGAACACCCGGGCAGAGGTAGAGAGAGGGAAGCAGGAGATACAACCAGTCACCAAGTCAGGGGCGGAGACAGGGACCCATGCGAAGCCGGGATAGGAAGGCAGAAGCGAGACAGAGGAGCCAGGGTACGGAGCCCCCCCACCCCCGCACCCCTCCATCCAGTGCAGGGAGGGGAGGCCAGTGTGCCCACCTGACCGTGCTGAACAGTGCGTACACCTCGAGGCTCTTCCCTGCCTTGGGCCACAGCAAGAACACATCCTCTGGGAGACAGAAGGCCACTGCCATTGTCCCCCACTCATGGCTCTGGGCCTCCCCACTCCCGCACCCAGGCCGCCCTTGGCCCTGCCCTTACCCAGCTGGTCAAAGTGGGTCTCGGCACCACCGGGACCGGGCACCGAGCAGACCAGCCTGGCCTTGAGGAAGGTGCTCCACTTGTTCACCAGCACCCGCTGGCCACCAGCGTCGTTCTGTGGTCGGAGGCCAGGGTCAGCCTCGGGCCCAGAGGACGGCCCTCCTCCCTTCCTCCACCCTCACCCTCCGGACAGAGGCAGGGGCGTGGGCTTCACACCCTGGCCTCAGTTTCCCTACTGCTGAGGGTGGGGGCAGGTTGGGGAAGAGGAAGTGCAGCAAGGACTTCCCTGCCCTCACCGCCCCTTCCCTGCTCTCACCACGCAGACGCGGCCCACGCGGCTGACGGTGACATGGCCCGGGCCCCCGTCTGGCGAAGGGACAGTCTCCGAGAAGAAGAAGTACACCTTGTCATCGTTCTGGTCAGAGTTGTCCGCGATCTGGGCAGCCATCACAAACCGGGGGTCTGGGTCGGGGGTGACGGGGAAGACAGGTGGCTGAGCCCAGTGGGGAGGGGGCAGGTACTGTCCCACTGGAGGCCGGAGTCTCAGTGGTAAAGGGGGATGGGCTGCCCCTCCTGTCTCCATTCCAGCACCAGCTCCCCTGCCTCCTGTCCATGCTGGGGCCGACCCGGGCCAGCCTCGCCCTCAGCAGGCCCCGGACTCACCGTGCAGGAGGTTCTGGTCAGAGTCAGAACGCAAGGCCGGCCGGGCACCCCCACTCCGGAAGATCATGGCCTCACGCCCCAGGAAGTCGGCGGTGAGGCCCGTGTACAGCTCCCCACCTGGGGTCGGCGGGGCAGAGTCAGGGGAGGAGGGCCCAGCCACCACCCTTTCCCAAGGACATCAGCCGGCTCCCACCCTCCCTGTGCCCACCCAGACCTGAGCATCACCCACCTACAAAGGTGCTGGCGAAAGGACGGCTGGGCTCATGCGGGCACCGCCCCCGCCCACTTTCAACACTGTGAGCCTCCAGGTGAAGTACATGCTGGGGAGAGGGAGGCAGGGGTGTCACCTGGGAAAGTAGTACCAGCCCCCCCACCAGGCAGTGGCCATCATGCATCGCGTGCAGCTGGAGAGTGGGGGGGAGGGGTGAAGGCACCCTCAATTCAGGGCCTTGCCAGTGGGGTCAGCTCTGGCACAAAGGCGCCCTTCAGGCCTCTGAAACCTCTGCCCCGACCCAGGCTCAATGGGGAGGGTTCAGGCCGCCTGGGGGAATGTCACTGCTTCCCAGTCCCTGTGGGGCACGGAGCTCACCTCCCCACGGTGCCCAACCGCGATGAGGGCGCAGGTGGGATGGAAGGCCCCGGTGCCGCATGCCAGCAGGTGGGTTCTGTTGTGGGGCTGCAGCACCCGCACGAAGTTGGCACACTCCACCTGGTTGGGAGAGGAGGAGGAGTGAGGGCTGCTCACCACCTATCTCCTCGGGTCCCAAGGCCGGGCCCTGCCTGGCTGATCAGCCCTGGGGTCTATGGTGACATTCTTTTTTCTTTTGAATCCTCACCCGAGGATATTTTTCCATTGATATTTAGAGAGAATGGAAGAGAGAGGGAAAGACAGAGAGACACATTGATGTGAGAGAAACATATCGATTGGTTGCCTCCTCCATGCACCCCAACCAGGGCCCGGGCCAAGGAGGAGCCTGCAACCGAGACACATGCCCTTGCCTGGAATCGAACCCAGGACCCTTTGGTCTACAGGCCGATGCTCTATCCACTGAGCAAAACCAGCTACGGCTAGGGTGACATTCTTCTTGGACCCTCTAGAGCCCTCGTGTCCGTTTCAAATGACCCAGCACAGGCAGCTGCAGGAGTGGGCACAGGCTACCCTGGGTGTAGGTCAGGGTTGAGAGCAGTCACTCCCAAGGGCACTCACCAAAGGGTCTCGTCCCTTTCGAACACACTCCTCCCTCTGTCCTGGCTGCGGCGGCCACAGGACCTGAAACACAGCCTGGCTGACCGCGAGCTCACAGCCTCAGTTTCCCCATCCAGCCCCCATCCAGAGTTGCCCAGCTCTCAGACAGAGCCTCGCCCCAGTCAGCCCAGCTCACCTCCCGGGGGTCTGCCCATGGCTGGTCCAGCTGCAGGGAGTAGATGGCATCGCGACCCCCCAGAAAGAGGCGGTCTCGGTACTCATCCAGGTACATAGCCCGAAGGTCCAGGGAGCCCCGGGGACCCAGGAAGATGGCGGAGCGGTTGGCAGACAGGAGTTCTGCAGGGGAGCAAGGGAGGGGTGAGGGCCCCTCAGCCAAGGCGTGGAAGTGGAGGGTCCCAGCTGTGCACTCGCCCCCCCACACACTCACATCTGGAAAATGTTTCCATCCACAGGGCTGCCAGGAGGGCTTCTGGGAAATGGCTCCTGGGGGTGGGTGGGCACAGGGAGCCCCCACCCAGCCCAGCCAACTCAGGGCCAACTCCTTTCCCTCCATTCCTTAGCCCCTGCTCTTTCCGTTAACACCTCCTTCCCAGTGGCCCATCTGTGTTCTATGCAGTGCCCACTGCGTAGAGGGCCCACTGGCGGACCGTACGGCAGCCAGCTGGAGGGAGGGTGGGTGAGTGTGAGCCGTGCAGGCGGACAGGCAGGGGACAGTGTTCCCAGCAGATGGAACACCTGGGAAAGGCCTGGGTCTGGGAGAGACCAGGGGTGGCCAAGCTGCAGGCTCTAGTCCAGGATGTGGCTAAAGAGGATTTTCTCCTCCACTGACCTGTCCACCCAGCCCTAGGTAGGGGGAGGCTGTCTGGGGACCCTTGGCATTGGAGGTGGAGGAGGGGGGTGGGCAAGAGGCCGACAAGATGAATGGGAAGGGGCCTTGGCCGCCCTTGGGAAGGCCAAGTGCCCTATGCCTGCCCATCCTCAGCCCAGCACTCACCCCACCCCAAATTCAGCCTCTTCCAGGAAGCCCTCCATGGCTGACAGTACTTTGGAGAGGATTTGCCTTATTTAACTTTTCTTATAGCCTGACTTCCTTCCAAAACCACAGCTCCAAGGGTAGGACCAAATCCTCCCCCAGACTCAATGTTCAGCCTCTCCAGAGTAGAGCCACATCTTCCCCCCCATACTCTCCAGAGCCTGGGTCTCCCTCTTTGTTTTATTTTGGGGGTTTCCCCTTTGAACTGAGAATCCCAGAGAAAGGTGATCACCCTGCTCTCCGGCTTCCCTAAGAGGAATCTGTGGTGAGCAGGAACCTTTTGCTGCGTACTGTTTACGGATTCCGAGGAGGCCTGAGCCCGCCGCAGCACAACGCATCAGGTTAGATCTGCAGAGGAACCTCCTGAGCCGGGACAGGGCGGGAGGAGCAAGGACAGCATCGGGGAGTGGGCTGCAAGGGGCAGGTGGGTGAGGGGGAAGCTGGGGGACAGGGGGAGGGCCCGCATTACAGTGGGGGAGGAGAGGGACAGGATCCTGCTCTCCCACTGTCTGCCCTGGGCAAGGAGCCCCCAATCCATGCAGACAGACCCTCCAAACCTGCCCTGTCTGCCCATCCCCATCTCTCTCTGCCCATCTCTACTGAGGTCTCTCAGGGTCTCCATTCATCTCTCTCATTTCCTCAAAAGTCCCCTCGGCTTTCCCCTGAGTGTGTCGGTCCCTGCCACCTCCACCTTGGCCATGCCTCCAGGAGCTGTCCTCTCCCCCTGCCTGCCTCCTCCCCAGTGCCGGCCCCTGGCAGTAGCCAGAGGAGCACCATCCCGGGAAATGACCGCTAAGTCCTTCCCACTGGCTGTGCAGGGAATGACTGCATCCCTCTGGCTGGCAGAACAGACTGCCCCGGCTGGCTGGGGCCCCCACAGCTGGGGTGCTGCAGGGTCCCGGGTTCCCACGACCATGCACATGAACAGGGTGTACAGTCCATACCTCGGTAGGAGAGCCGCAGGCGGGGCACGCTGGCGCTGGGGCTTGGGCTGCCCCTGTGGAACAGGAGACTCCCCAAGAGGCAGCAGATGGCCCAGGCCGAGGAGGCCATGCTGGGGACCGAGGGCACCTCGCTGCCTGTGGAGCCACCCTCTGGTCCCACTGCTGGTTGTAGTTTGCTCTCTTGCCGCCAGGCCTGCCACTTATAAGGCACTGGCTCCGCCCTGTCCAGGGCCAGGAAGCCGGAGGAGGAGGAGGAGGAGGAGGGAGAGCCACGGAGAAGGAGAGAGGGAGGGGTGAGTGCCTGCCATGCACCTGCTTTGGCTCCCTCCACCCCGACTGGCCCTGATCCGGGTTCCCCATTGGGGAGACTTTCCCAGCTGGGGTGTGGGTAGTTTACACAGAAATGTCTCCAGGCTCCAGCAAGAGGTCCAGAGGGAGAGAACCTGGAAAAGAGGCCAGGAGTCAGGTCGGAGCTGGATGGTCTGGTGAGGGTCTGGTTGGGCTCTCCTTTGGTCTCTGCCCCTCCAGCGCCTGTGGCAGAGAACCCCTCCCCACAAACTGACTCCAGGCCTGTTCATGATCCCAGCAGGGTTCAGCCCCTGAAGCCTTGGCTTGGCTCCCCAGCTTCCTGCAGCGTCTAAGTTACCTGTGTGTGGGGAGGAGGTCATTCTAGTCCAGCCGTGGGCAAACTACGGCCCGCGGGCCGGATTGGCCCGTTTGAAATGAATAAAACTAAAAAAAAAAAGAGACCGTACCCTTTTATGTAATGATGTTTACTTTGAATTTATATTAGTTCACACAAACACTCCATCCATGCTTTTGTTCCGGCCCTCGGTCCAGTTTAAGAACCCATTGTGGCCTGCGAGTCCAAAAATTTGCCCACCCCTGCTCTAGTCTCAGGGGCTCCGTGTTTGGGGGGAAGGCTTGAGGTTTGCCACACCTCACAGATCTGAGATGGGCTAGAGATGAATGTCTGGCCTCCAGGCCCCATCCCAGCTCACTGGGCAGGGGAGCCTCCCTTTGCCCTGCCCCTCCCAGCCATCCAGTCCTTCCAGAGACCCAGGGCCCAGAGTGTCACTCAGTGCGGAGTGGGTTCTTCCCAGAATCCCCTCTGCATCATAGGCCCTATACATGTGATCCCTCCAGAGTGAGGGTGAAGGGAGGGTGGCCACCCCCCCACCCCCTCTGCCCTGAGCTCAGATCGGGGGCAAGAAAGCCACAGAGAGGGACAAGGAGGAGATGAGATTGAGGGGCTGAATCTAGGCAGGTGAGGGGACTACCACACGCCCCTATCCCACAGCATTCCCTGTCCCTGCCCCTCACAGCTGTCACTCCACCCCTCCCAGACCCCTACACTCGGAATCTGAGGCCCTGGAAGCAAAGAAGATTTCAAACTTGAGCCAGAACTTGGGCTCCCGGAATTCTAGAAATTCCTGCAAGTTAGGCCTCCAGGATGGACCAGCCCAAGCTCCCAGACTGTAGGTCAGGAAACTTGGGGGCATCAGAGAGGGACAGACCTGGCCCAGGCCACAGAACAGGCTGAAATAGGCCCACCAACCTGGCCCCTTCCTGGGGTTCTCTTTTGCTGTGGTAACTTCTGGGGGTGGCACTTGGAGTCCCCATCTCATCCCTGGAAGGTAAACAGGTCAGGCGCCTTAAGCATGAGAAGGACCCAAGGACCTTGAACCCTGTCTCCCTGGCCCCACCTCCCCCTCACTCAGGGAGGCCTGCAACAGCCCTCAGACCCCCACCTGTGACTACTGGAGAATTTGGGCCAAGGCCCTTCCCTCGCTGGGTCTCTGTCTCCTCTGCCACCTTGGGTGTAACGGACTGTTTACAATGGAGAGGGCTGCCTGTGCAGGGGCTGCCATGATGATGATTATATCTGGTCCCTCCAAGAGGCGAAGCCCCTCTGCCTTCATCTTCCTGGAGAGAGTTTTGGGCAGAACCCTGGGCAGGGCCGATATCTGGCTGGAGATGGAGCCAGGTGGCCTCTCAGCCAGCCTGTGGCCCTCGCTTTGGGCAGCAGGCCCAACAATTCTTCCGCTGCCAGCTCACCATGGGGTCTCAGCTCAGCCAGGCTCCCCGCTGAGGCTGCAGGGAGGCCTGGATCCCCTCGAGCAGGAGGTCAGGGCAGCCCACTCCACGCAGCCTGGCGCAGGGGCGGGAGCCCGAAATTTAAGGTTAATTTTTTGTGTGGCCTCAGGCAGGTCCTCTCCCTCTCTGGGCCTCAGTTTCCCTTCTGTAAAGGCCCATGTTTGCAAGCTGCAGATGAAAAATAGACTCAAAGGTATCCCTGATTTATTGAGTCAATGGGCCCAGCCACATACATCTTGTGCCATCTAATGGACAAAGTGGGAACTGCAGGATGTCCCCACGCTGCCCGCTGTGTCAGGCCCTGGGCAGGGCAGCAGGGCCACCCAGAAGAAACAGCAGCCTCTTGGGGCAGCAGGCAATAACCAGGCAATCACAACATGAGAGGCAGGGGCAGTGAGAGACGTTCCACTGCAGGGGAGATGGCTCCTGGTGGGGGAAATCACGGAGGCTTCATGGAGGAAGCACTATCCAGGCAAAGGATGGCACAGCCCAGAAGAAATGGAGAGAAATGAATGAAGCACAATAGTCAGAACTAGGTGACATATGTAGAGGGGCTCGATGCTGTGTGCTGGTAGGAGCTTGTGAGCCCTTGGCTGTATACATGTGTGATGTGTGCCATGCTCCAGATGCCACCAGGCAGGTATGTGGAGTGTCAGAGCCCAGCCTCTCCCAGCGAGAATTCTGAGGGTGGGGATGCACAGAAGGAAGAGATGCCCCAGTCACTCCC